GCCAGCAGGTCAAGAGAAGTGATTATTATTCCTTGTTCAGCACTTGTGAGACTATATTTGGAGTACTTTGTCCAGTTCAGGACTCCTCTGCACAAGACAAGGCATTGACATATTGGAGCCAGTCCAGCAGAGAGCTACTAAGATGATTAGGAGACCGGAGCACACGGTGTGAGGCTGAGAGCTGAATTTGCTCAGTCTTAAGACAAGAAAGCTACGGGGGAGGTCTCATTGGTATCTTCAGCTACTCAGTGGGAGGTTATGAAGAAGATGGAGCCAGAATCGTCACAGATGCACAGCAGAAAGAGGCAAGAATTACATTTCATCAGAATAAGTTCTGACTAGATACAAGGAAAAAATTCTTCACTGTGAGGGTGGTCAAGCATTAGAGAGCAGATTGTCCAGGGAGACTGCACCATATCCTTCCCTGGGGATACCCAAAGCTCAGCTGCACTAGGCCCCGAGCAGCTTAATGCAACTTCAAAGCCACCACTTTGTGGACCTCTGGAGGTCCCTTCCAATCTAAATTATTCTGGGATTCTACTATCCTCTCCTCTCTTCTGGTTTCAGTTTTGCTAAGGAGTGTTCTCTTGTTGCTCTTCTTCGGATACTCCCGCTCTTCGTGTGTATAATATATTGTCCTGGTCTAATTCACGCTGTACAGTCCTGACAGGAAGTTGAGCCCTCCACAATCACTTGTAATAACACCAGCTATGAATTTAGTGATGACAACAAAGAGTAAAGAATTAAACAAATAGTTTAAATGTAAACAGTCAAAAATGCATTAGAGAACACCTTCAGAAATGCCTCCCCATTTAGCATTAAAATACCATTAGCTATGGTTCAGTATTTAAGAGGACTGAGGGAAAACACACACTCATTTAAAGAAATAATTAAAAACCCAGCACAACAGTTCAGAAATTGGATTAAGCTAGATGCAGCTGCAATCTTCATACTTAGTTTAAACCAAATTTGAATATCTGCAACTGAAGCTTTCAAGTTATAATCATGCCATTGACCTTCCTTCCCTTCTCCCTTTTCTTTTTGGCCACTGAAGACTATTGAAAGTATCAGAGCTCCAAGTCAAGAACAACTGCCTTGTAACTACGACTCTGACACGGATATAGTGAGAGCAGATTGCCTGCGAGGAAACAAGAATAAACCAGCTATTTAGAGAGATTATGTAACGCAGCACAGAGCTGCAAAATGAGATTTAAAGAGACAGAACTCTGCCTTTCAGCCCTGTAAGTAACCACAGAAGTTGGGCAATACTGTAGCAATTTGAAGTGCCTCAGACCACAGAGGAAGAAGTCTTGTCTGACTAGTATTTTATTCATAATTCTTGTTTCTCACAAAAACAGTACTGTCTGGCTATTTTGTCAAATCTTTGAAAACAAAGTTGAAATACCTCTTCACATCATCCCATAGATGTGCAGGTTTTTACCACAAAAATGAGCTCTATGTGAACAGATACGAACCATTCTGTGGACCTGAGCTCGTTGAACTTGCGGAGCTCGGCACGCTCAGTTAGCACAGTAGTGCACACTGAAAACCAAACTGATTATGAGCAAATACAACAGTATTAGATCTTTCCTGCATAAATATTTTAGCAAGTGTAAACAACACTCCAGCTTTTATAAGCAGCCAATTCCCAAACGAACACCCACAAACATCAGCTGGTTCAGCAAAGAAAGGCAGAGACTAGGAACTGCCATGCACGGCCGCATTCTAAATTGCGAGGAAGTGTACGGCAAAGGCATGTGGGACGAGGGAGACTAGTTCTGTGTATTAGACATTCTTACACAAACCTGGAAACCACAAAGCCTTCAGGGTTTGCCCACAGCTTTGTTTAGAGCACACATATATGTATACATATATGTATAAAAACCACCAGCGCACAACATAATGATTTTATAGAAGAGTCCAGAACGGTAGAGCAGTTGTTGATGGGAGATTTTACTTCTGCATTTCTTCACTTTAGAATGAAGGAAAAGAAAAAAACATTGTCATATTATTGCCTTAGGCATTCTCATGAAAAACTGTTTTTCATCTAATTCTAAACATCCTTTCATTAAAAGACTCAACAAATAGTAGCATCATATGTTCAGCCAACCCCAGCTGCTTTGCTAGTGATTAAGTAAGAGACAGCGAGCCCAGATCACCTCCCCTGGACAGACAGACATTACAGCTAGGAAGAAGTTGGCCCAAACTACACGGCGGAGGGAAGGGAAAGCAGGGGGAGGTCACCGTTTTTTAAAAAACAGCAAGTCCCTGCTCCACTGCTGGACTTTTCCCCGCATCATGTCAAGCCTGCAGGTTGCTGGCAAGCGGAGCAGGCACAGCGAGAGCCCTGCCAGCGCTCTCAGACCACACACACGCACGCTCTCTCTCAGCTGTTCTCCAACACACTGAAAACACTTGGGCACCAGCCGGTGCAGAGCACCACGTAGGAGAAAACCACGTGCTTACGCTACAGAAGGTAGCAGGCAGCCTTGACGCAGGAGCCACCAGCCAGCCGCAGGAACGGGCCTCCTGAAGCGTGCTCACAAGCTGTGCTGCACCAGCGTCCCGACGGGAGCCAGTTTCAGCCGTTCATTTAGAAACACAAACGCAGTAGTACCAGCAATGAAATAAACCAGCAGCTGGGCATTTCTTCTGATCAGACAGCATAGCACCCCAAGGATAACTGTTCATTTTTAATACAGTCAGCTATCAGTGCTCTTCAGCTTCACTCAATGAACCTCATTCTTTAAAATTCATACCGTAAGTTCACTTACTTTGCTACACATTCAAGTATAAACACAATGGATATTAATATAATTTCACAAAAAAAAAAAAAAGCCATGATCATGGGCACACAGTGACAGGGTGAGATTTTCTAAGTTCATTGCCATAGCTAAATTTGCAATTAAAAACTATATAAAGCTAAAAGCGTGATTAAATCCAGCAGACAACTAGCTCATTATACAGCAGCAGAAAAAAAAGCCTTTCAAACACCAATTGCTCTACCTGAAATATCAGCTGCTGTTGCCATGCCTGCGACTAAGCAAGAACATCACTTCACCCATTGAAAAGAACTTTCCGAGAGACAGATTGGCAGCATGACAAAAGCAGGTTGGCTTCAGAAATCACAGACCAAACAGTTTTGTCCTATGTAAAGCATAGCTACAAAAAGGAGAAGAAAACCTGTAAAAGCCTCAGACAGTTACAGGTAAAAAGACAAATTATTTGCCTGTTTCAGAACTGTGTGGGAGATAATTTCATTTCAAGCAACTACAGTTTCTTTTATCTGATGCTGATAGATTTTAGCCAAGTCAGCATCATTGTGTATGATTGTGGGGGGCCTCACGAGTCCAGTACGTGCAAAAGCTGTGGTGAAGGAGGACGCTCAGGCATATTCCCCAGCAAGCAGTCATCCAAGAAAGAAGCCAGGTTTAGATTCCAGAAAAACGCCTACATTGCCTTTAATTGTGATTACTGTTCAACATAACCAAAAGAGTTTTTGAAGGATTCAAACATTCCAAAAAGCAAGACAACAGCATCTTCTCCCCTCAACATTTTGCTTTTCTACAATTAAAAGACAAGGAACTGGGCAGACCTTACACACAACAAGCCAATTTATTTTTAAAACACCTGTTTTAAATTTTAAACCTGTTTAAAATTACAGTTTTGATTAAAGTGCCTTCATCCAAAGACAAACTTCACTAGCTGTAAAAGGTATTCCAGTGGTTTTATTCCACTGCTTTATACGGGTTACACTTTATACAGGCATTTTTAAAACTCGTAAGATAGTAACTTGCTCACATAAAGTTCAAGCTTTACTCTGCCGAACAAGCAGGGCTCGATGCTGTTCAGTACAAACAGCTGAATAAAACATTCTGTATATAAAACAACCTATATATAAATCAGTTGAATAACGCTGAGTAAAGCAATATGGCTATATTTCAAGAACAGATCAATCTTACCCTACATATACCTATGCAGGTGTATTATCAGATCAATCTTACCCTACATATACCTGTGCAGGTATAATATCAGATCAATCTTACCCTATATATACCTGTGCAGGTATAATATCAGATCAATCTTACCCTATATATACCTGTGCAGACACAGTATCAGCCAAGATTTTCTGTGTTTGAGTTGCAAGGATAAGACTTCAATTGAGTCAAATACCTTTATTTAAAACATTCCCCAAAATGAGCACCGTATCAGTAAAACCCATCTACATTCCTTGGTTAATTACATGTCAGCTTCTGAGTCTTTGATATGACAGTCCATCAGCTGTCATCTTCAAGTCAAGAGACAGGACTATTAATTAGCCAAAAAATGACAACTGCTGTCCATTGATATGAGTAACAGCAATTGAAACTGGAAGACCATTCTGTTTCTGGAATAAACACTGGTTTTATCTATTCTCTTTTAAGAGTGTAGATTATGTAGATCTCAGTTAAAATGTATAGCATGTAATGAGAACATTTATTTAAATACTCTCTGGACACAAACCTTTTTTCCATTTTTCCCCTCTCTGTTCAACAGTCACATATTAAGGACATGATTACTGTGAAGCGTGCATAAATACATGCGTTATCTCACAGTTACACTGCATAAAAGCAAAAACATTTGAACAACTATACTTAAAAATAAACACGCATAAATCATTGCAAGAACCCTGAAAAAATATAAAATAAAAAGCCACAATAGGTTAACAGATAATAAACAGGTGCAATAGGCATGTCAACCTTGAAAAAGCCCTTTTAAACTATAATAGTATTGTCAGGTGCCATTACCCTTTGTCAGCCAGCTACCCGACCTCATAAATCAGGTATAACAGCCAAATGAGAGCACAATGTAAAACCAGCACTAGGCAGACTTGTCTACTGACTAATGAGTGGCCTGACAAGGTTTTGAGGTCCCATTCAAAACTAAAAATTAATTGTAATCCATCATATTAATTAAAAAAAAAAAAAAGCCACAGCAACAAGATTCAAGCTTGCAAGTACCGTTCTGTAGAGTCTGTGCTCGTGACTCCTTTCCCAGATTGGCGTGGAATCCTCCTCCTAAAGTTGGTGTTTTGCCTGCACCTATCAGGAAAAAAGACAGACATGTCAAATGCAATAACTGAATTAATACATTAAAAAACTCATTGTGCCACTATATTCAGTGACTTTATAATTTACAAATATGCCAAATTACATCAAGAAGGGCAAGAGAAGTGCTTGAAGGGCTTAAGACACGAAGTACTAGCCCTGTGCAATCTATTTCTTCCTTGGGATACCATAAGAAATACACAGTTCCATAAGCTCCCCCATCTCAGCTCCAAAGCAAGCATAAAAATGTTGCAACCCCAATTTTAGGCAGAACATGAAAACCAAAATTGTAAAATATTGCTCCAAGTAAATGATGAAACAATTGCTTAGGTTTTTTTTTTGTCTGAAGATTATTCAATACAGAATTTTAATAGCTAATTACTGGCACTACAGAACATAAAGCATGTCTAGCATTCAATAATGACTGTGTTGGCTACTACAGACATAACAATTACTTTCAAATAACTTCAGTTTAACATTAGGCGCACACAGTGAGACTTGGGTTACAAAAACGGGAGTCTGGAATGCTACATTTACACCCTGAAAGGCCTGAGACTGAAATAAATCAGAGCTGTAAATTAGCATAAAGTAGAGGCTCGTTTATGCATCCGTGCCAATGCTGAGGAGCCTGAACGCAGAGTCCTCTGGGAGTCAGTGGAACTACTCATACAAACCAATCTTGCAGAACAGGGGATTAAACTACCAAGCACAGAAACAGTCTCCCATTAAAGCAGGAATTTTTTGAAAAACAATCAGGCTACCTCAAGCAGGATATTCGAATCTACTGGCTTAGCAGCAAGTGAGACCAAAAAGCCAAATTGCACAGGACTGAAAAGTAATTTGTGAGTAATTAGACTTCTACTTAATTCCAGTAGTGTGTCCTTTAGAACACGGAAAAAAAGTCATCTTGTTCCCCATTATGCCTACAGTATTTCCTCAAGTTCTTGTAGCTATGTTTTCTCATCTTACACCAGTTCTCTAGAACAAATTAGAATAGCTTTGGGACAGAAACATACAGAGTGCAGTGCCACTTGAAAGCAGTTCAGGACATTTCTGCTACACACCCAAATAAGATACTTCTATAGCAGGTACACGTGGTGAGAAAGTGTGACCTAAATTGTTTACTCTCACTAGAGTTTCTTAGCCAGACTCCTCTCAGCTGCATATAATATACCTCTATGTTGAGTGGAAAAAAAAAATAACAAAACAGAAAAGCTACTGTTCCTGCAGTATTATTGTCTACAAGCCTTCGAAGCTTAATTTTCCATACAACCTTTAAATTAGGTTTCCAGTGCTATTCACAACAGCAAAGGACTTTCACTTCATTAACAGATCCTTTCAACAAACACTAATCAGAAGCTCTCACGTAAATGCCCCAGAGCTTCAGTACTTCAGTTTAGCATCCTAGTTAGAGAGGAAAAATATTCCAGAGTGACCTCCTCACTGCATATAGGGGTAACGCTCCCAGCTCTGTGTTGGCTCCAGACTATCACAGACAGCAATGTGTCCTTGCCCTTCTTATAGGTAAAGTCTCGTATTTCCCCAAATGCTCCAAAACAAACTGATGAGGCAACACAGAGAGAGGCTACCAACCACCCTAGCACACGGAACATTTCTGGTGTACGCTTAATAAGAATGGATTATCTGGAAAAAACATATCAACAGTGGCAATAGTTTTATGTTCCTTTTCTTCAGTAGCAAATCTAACTTCAGCCATTCTGCCTCCTACCCTCCCTTCTTGTTGTTTTAATGTTCGTTTAGCACAGGCTGCCTCGCTCGTCCGAGTGGCAGCAGGCGAGCGTGCACTCGAGCATCAGTGCGGTGGAGGAGGCCACAAACCCCGGGCAAGGGCAGGAAGATGCAGGCGGGAGGCAGCCGGCTCACCCCACACTCCGGCAAAGGCACCATTGCCCCCCACACACCCCGTGCACAAAGGCTCCACTTTTCAGTCCCCTCTATCTTTGAACACATGAAAATACTGAACTCCATTGGACTATCACTGTCAGAACAGCTACATTACTCTTCTACAAGTTTCCCTGTTACTACTAAAAAGCTTGCGCATAAACATTCTTATGGTGGTGACAAGCAATACTATTAAAAAAATAATTTAACTTACTCAGAAGCTAAAATCCAGAAAGAACACAAACAAAACAAAATTAAATTGAGATTTCAGTGGTTTTGTTCTTTAAGATTCTTCTTCATTAGACATCAAGATACAACATTGAACATAAAAGTAATTTCTTTCCAAGCTATGGAGTCTGCAGCAGATACTAGCAGAGCTATCTGAAAGACAAATTCTGCTCTCAGAATTGATGTGCCCATTTCTCAGTGAGTTAACTGGAAAGACTGTACATCTCTAATTAGCATTTGGCTTTGAAAACTGACAGAAAACTAGTCTGTTGAACACTTACACTCTCAGAACTGCAAACTAACGTTGCCATTGACTATGAAGTCTCACCATCAGCTTTAATCTTTACAAGCACAATGCAAACCAAACTCATTAACGTAACTGTTCAGCTGGGTAATAAGAAGATAAATGCTTTAAAAAAAGAAAACTGTGAAATCATCAAATTCATTTGAAGACAAAAATCCCTACAAAGCTAGTCATTTAAAAAGTACAAAGGAAAGCAACAGCAACCGCTAGGCACAACCAAATTAACATCCCGGCTTAACTGCAATTTTTACATTTCTTGACCTTTTCCATTTTTCCCTCTACAACTTCAGAAGTGAATTAAACAGGCTTTTGGTTTTTCACATCCAGCTTTGAAGACATACAAAAATATATCTGAGAAGTATTTGGTGTCTTCAAGTACTGCCTGCCAAATGTTCAACATGAACACTAACATTTCCCTAAGCCAACTCAAGTACCCTCCTTCATGAGGTGGCAGCTACCAAGGTACCTTGTCATCTACCGACTATTTTTAGAAACTCACTCAGATTCTCAGCTTTGCATAACTGAAGCCTCCTCTCCTCTTCAAGTTAGCTTTGGACATTTACATGAAATTTTGGACAACGAAAGGTGTGGAGTGATGTGTTAGGCAGCTCAAAAGTACAGCTACTCAATTTTTTTGTGGTCCTCTCAGTCAGCTACAGTGCCCTGAGACACCAAGAGAAGAGAACTGAAGATGCAGGAGATCATGCACCTGGAAACTTGATAATACTTGGTCAAAGATTATGTGGGTCCAGATCCAGCCCATAACCCTGCACTGCTCAAGCGCTGATCTACCGTCCCTGTCCCTCGAGCAGCCACAAGCAGCCGTCCTCGTGCCTGCTCCTTGCAGCACAGCCGCCGTGCACAGGGTCAGACCCAGGCACCCTGGCCGCCCTGGTTTGCTCCACTGACTCACTAACGAAGGAAGTCACACCACTTGGCTTCTCTGCACAAATGTTCCTGAAGCAGTAAAAGGATCAAGCAATGCTTGAAGTCTGTGGTAACCTTAAACAGCAACAAAAAGATGACAAATAGCAGGAACAGCACTTATCACATCCCTCCGCACAGAGGAGGCGAAGAGCAGCCGCTCGGGCATCTGCAGCTTAAAGGACACTTCTCCGAGAGCTAGTGACATGCTGAGTTCCAGTTTCAACACCTGGAGAAGAAACAGATTCTGTTCCAGCATTACGGATTTTGTTTCCTCTACATAAATGAGCAAGTGAAGACAAGGAATGAAGCTGCTTGCAACTTGAACCGAAGTGTATCTGCTATTTGATAGGACCAGGCCTACCAAAATCCTTCCCTATGAAATTAAAACAAAAAACATCAGCCCTTTCTCCAGCACAAGGCAGGAGAAAAACCTTCAATTTAAAACCCATGTATTTACAGACCCAGCATAAAATCTAGGTCTGGTAAAGAAAGCAGACTGCATCACACCAACGGTCTCATAGTCAGGGTAGACTAGATAATATACTATAGAAAATTAATGAGCTTCCTACTTAAGTTAGATCATAAAAGTCAAAAGGAGAGTGAGTAAATATCCCATTAAAATTCATGACTACAGTAGCAAAATGATGTGTTTAAAGTTTTCCGAACACACAGAGCTACTGAAGTCTGTGACCAAAATAATTCTTTTCTCCGCCATTCTTACAGGGAAGCGAACAGATCCGCATGCACCACAGCCTGCTGAAACGCTACTGCTGAACAAACTCACATAGACAAACTTGTAACCTACTCCAGCAGAGCCAGCTATCTATGGGCTTATTTCCCTAACTACCAACCCAAGAGAGAAATCTGCTGTTGCATCCACCACGCCCGAGTTCAGGGCTCGAACAGTCTCTGAAACCAGCCTGCAGCCACGTTACGCACACGGGTCGGCGTTTCCACAGCTGACGGCAGCACACTCCGCAGCGCTTCCAGCCAGCGTTTGTTGCCATCACAAGGACAGCAAATAAAAGACTCAAGGCCACGAAAAACCCACGACACACTTGACACTGATGCAAGATTGCCACCTGGAGGGTTTCAGAAGAGAAGCAAAAAATTGTTCATCTCACTAACACGTACAGCGGATTATTATTTTTTGCATGAAGTAGATGCAAGTTTCCCCTTCTTCCTTCCCAACATGATTATGAATTAGTTTTGTAATGAAAAAACCTAGCACAAAGTAAAACAAGTAAATACTCTTCAGGATTTCCCTAAAAGGTCTGCAAATCCAGCATATCCATACTTGCTTCTGTGTTGCAAATTACATCATGACCACACTACGTAATTTAAAATTAACCATGAATTGGTGTCATCTCTAGAAATCTGGCCCACAAGTAAGACGAATTTTTCTGACATTATTTTCACTTTTCAGTAGCCAGAGTTTTCAAGTTCAGCATGTGTGTTACTGGCAGAACCCACTTCAGGACTGTTCGAGACTACACTATAAGAAATATTTTATATCATGGTTTGGTCTATCAATATATCCTACATGGAAATCAATTAACAACTACCAATTAAAAACAAAATCCCTACTTCTTCCACTTCTGTAATATTCAAAAATACAGAAGAATCCCTTACTGAACCTAACAACTGACCAGAAAAAAAACACAGAATCTGACACAAACACAGAGTTCATCTTCTTTACCAGCTGTCTCACTGGCACTTACTGTGACAGTAATTGTCCATCTTACAAAGTTCTAGAGGAAAAAAGGCATAGAAGATGAATGGCTAGTAAGCTTAGTTTAAATTTTATGAAAGCTTTTTCCTCCCTGTATCTAGTCCCTCTTCTTTCCAGCTTGCTGACCATAACTTTCCATTTCCACAAACCCCAAAAGACTGAAATACTTTGAGCAAGGCAAACCCCAGTCAAGTTCTGCACTTCAGATCAATGTAGCTCACACTCCTCCAAGTAAAAACATAAAGAGGTTTCTAAGGATAAAGTAGTGTAT